CGATTTTTAAATTTGTAATTTTTTTGGATATTTCCCCCATTTGCGGGGAACGAGGGAAAATTTTTAAATTTTTAAGGGTAATGTCTTCAACTAGATACAATTTGTGATCTTTTGACGTATTGTTAAAAGAAATCGGTCCAGTGAGAGCTGAGAAAAAGTAGTGACAGACACAAAAAAAAAAAAATAAACACATCATGGTAAAATTAATACCTTCTCAGCTTCGCATCGAAGCTAAAAAAAACGCTTCAATGCAAATCTTTAGATAGTGTTTAATTTTAAAAAATTGGTGTATTATTCCAAAAGCTACATTATCTGCTAGTTCCTTATTAATATCTTGATTAAGATAATAGATGTCGAATGAAAAAGGGATTATTGAAAATTATTATTTCTCATAAAAAAATTGTGTTGATCCATACACTTTTCAAAAAGTTATAGCATTATAAAGTTAAAAATGTATTAAATAAAATCGAGAATTTTCACACAATAATAGCATTCGGTAGATATTTTCATCGTGAAGACAAAATAAAGTCCGAAATTTTTTTTTTCATGATAAAGTATATTATATTAGCTTTAATTTAAGATATATATAAAAGTGTCAGACCAGTGTTATTCTAAAAAAATTAATATTTCTCTAATTTTATAGCAATCCTTTAAATATTTTCGTGGTAATTAAAACTAATAGACCAAGGTTAAATAATTTAAAACTTGGAAATAATAAATTATTTCAAGGTCTGATTATATATTGTATATATTGCAATACAATATGCACGAAAAATTATACGAACTTAAACTATATAAAAAAAGGACTAGTCAAAAATAATTTTTAATAATTATGATAAAAAAACTTTTACCTTGGAACGAGGATATATGATTTTTAGATTTATCTAATTTTAGAAATAACAATTTTTAAATTAAAAATAACCTTGATATTGCCTAGTATTTCAATACACATATAGTTTTACATACCTTTACAATACATCTCCATAGTATATTAAAATAATATATATTTGGTGACTGTCATTTTCCATTAAGTAAGTTAATAAATTAAACATTTATATAATAATGCATACTTATTAAGAAAAAAATGTGGAAAAGTATTTTAGCTTTGAGTTTTGACGTTAAATACATCGGGAAATCAAATTATGTCTAGTTGATGACATTATTCTCTAAAATTGAAAAAATTTCTTTAATATTTTTGTAAGTATAAATATTTAAAAAAAACCATATCACAGTGGAGTAGCGGCATAGTATAGTTAGGACAAGTATAGATGATATCTGACAGTGATTTTAATAACTGCCATAAAAAATGCTTCAGTGCAAATCTGTAGATAGTGTTTAATTCTAAGAAATTGGTGCATAATTACAAAAGCAACATCAACTCCTATTTCCTTAATTATATTGTGACTAGTAGTTTTTAGATTTAGAAGTATAATTTATGAATAAATATTTATTATAGCATTTAAATGTAGTATGAAATTAATATTTCATAATTTAATATTGTATTTTTTATTTAAAAATAATAAAAAATAATAAAGTAGTATATTTTGTCACTTCTATAATAAACACGTATAAAAATTAAAGGTTTTAATGCAATACTTTATGAAAAACATTTTATTTTTACTTGTGAATACATTAGTTAACAAAGAACTTTCATCGGTATCAAAAATATACCTTTTTAAATGAACTTTCCGCACTGTTTTCAAGTTTAAAATTTGTAACTTGTAATTTATAACTGGAAATTTATCAGAAAATCTCAATATTTTTTTTGCATTTTTATCGCAATAGATTTCTAAATAACTTTTAGTGTTTATAATGATTTTTTTTAGTGAAAAATTGTCATTTTGAAACCTTTTCTGTAAGCAGATACAGGGTCAATTGTTCACAAAAATATATCAAATGATAGGTAAATACCTAAGGTATCTATAAAAAAAATTGTTTCTATTTATTAATTTTCAAAAAATTATGGCAGTTTTCTATAAAAAACATTGAAAGAATGTCGAAAATTACCGATTTTTTAGTTTGTAATTTTTTTTGGAAATTTTGCCTATTTACGGGGAACGAGGGAAATTTTTTCAATTTTTTATGGTATTGTATTTAATTAGATATAATGTGTGATCTTTTGCTGTCTTGTTGATAGAAATCAGTCCAGTGAGAGCTGAGAATGAGCGGTAACAGACAAAAAAAAAACGCATCTATATAAAATTAAAATTAAATTAAAGCTAAAATTTAAATGAATGTTTTATGAACTCGCACTTAATGTTCGTAGATTTTCATAATGAAAGTTTTCTAGAAATATTATTAAAAAACATTTATAGAATTCAAGACATTTATTTATTGATATTTTATATTTTTATATTTTTTTCACGTATGCAAGTCTATTGCAAATCAAATCAAATAATTAATGAAATTTTTGTTTTTTTTTTCGATGACTTCTTGATGTTTTATTTTCATTTCTATGAAGCCGTTTCGACAGAATTGAAATGCGACAAAAATTTTACGTTTTCTGAGTGAACCCTATTATTAAACCTTAAATATGAACTAGAAGTCTACATAATTTCATTTATGGATTATTGGTTTAAAATCAACATGTAAGGTTTTTCTTGTAATTTTCGCAATTTTTCACGAACTATAATAAATTTTCGATAATTTTATACATCTTCAGAAAAACCTAGACACCTGTAGAGAATTTTCATTAAATGATTTCAATTGATTTAACAGTTTTTATTTTGATAACTGATTAATTAATGTTACTACGCATAGATTTTGCAATAAATTTTGACTGTGAACTTCAGACATTCTAAATATTTGCATAAAAGTTAGATAAGAGTTTTTGTTCAATGATATAATAGTATCAATAATGTCCAAATAAGAATGAGATTAATTTTTGTTTGGAACGGCAATACTGCTAAATCGTTAGGAGATTATATTAAATTTTAAAGTAGTTAAAGATGAACAAAACAAGTCCATAACCAGTGTGTATCATAATAGTTACACTTCTGAGACACATACAAGTTTTTTTTTTTTGTATATCAATCAACGTTTAAATATGCATATATTCGAGCCGACACAAACGGTTATTTTCTTAGCCTCAGTTATAAATAATTAATCTACTATTAGATAATTTTATCAGGATTTTAAAAATACAATATTTACATAGCCTAATTGTTTCAGAGTAGATCAACGTTGTTGAAGAAGTTATACACAATAAATAAACATGTCAATGTATCAAAAATTTGTAACAATAAAAAAATAATAATAATCTCCGCTTATTATCAATTTATTTATAAAAAATCTCAAAGTAGCCTTTAATTTCCAATTCCATCTCCTGTACTAAAATGAATCCTTATTACTAAATAATAAAAAAGTGATTGGCTCAATTTTAACTATTTCATCAATACAAAGAGGTGTATTAATTTTTAATTTTAATAAGTTAATTTTTTTTTTAAGAATTTTTAATAACTTTAAAAGTTACTATAATCAATTTTAAAAAGGGGGTCAATTAAAAAAGGAACAATAACTGAATATAATAAACAAATGTATTATTAAAAAAAAAAGTATTGAACTTTGAAATTCTTAAACTATAATTCTAATTCTAATAAAATTGTTGACTTATAATATATAGAGTGTTTAAAAAGTAAGGAAACTGGTTTCTATTGTTCTCATTGTTTGTAAAAATTTGCCTATTTACTTACTTATTGAACACCTTATATTGTAAGAAAAATTAAATTTATGTATATAAATAAATACACTTATTAAAATATAGATAATTTTCTTAAAGTGTCAATAACTGCACACTTTGCTCTATTGCGATTATAAAACTTTTGGCTACGTTCGGACACAAATATTTTTCATCTGGGTCTGCACAAAAGAGATTTTTTTTATTTATGAGATTTCTCAAGTGTAAAATATATTTCTAATGCCACTGTAAATTTAAATAATTATAAAAGCATAGTTACGTGTATTTAAAATTAAAGTTACACAGTTAAAGCTATGATACTCTAGTAAAGTATAAAAAAGCCTATAGTAATAGAAATAAAAAGGATCAAGTGGGGAGACTAGTCAATTGCTTACATACCTCTTCAAAACGGCTAGTAGCAACGAAGTAGTACCATTTTTAGTACTACTTCTGATGGTCTCAGATGATGAAAAAGAAATATGAACCTCTGTACCGTTATAATGACTCAGGTGACTCACCAAACGTGCATGTACTGGCCGTTGTGCTTCTTATCAAAAATTTCTTTTTATGCAAATGTATACGAACGTTAATACCTTTGAACCAACTAAAGCAATTATTTGAAATCATTTAGATCGTATATAACCATTTATAATTTGGTGGATGACTGTCAGTTACATTAAATTTTTCCAAGAGCAGTCATGGTTTGCGGAATCATGGATATGCCAAAAATCGTTCAAAACATAGACGTAAATATGATTATATAATGTTACAAGTTTTCTAAGACAATAATGTTGAATAATTTTATTAATAATTAGAAATATTTTTTTGATCTTTGGTTTTACTTGTAAAAAAATACGGTCAGTGTATTAATATTAATGTTTTTATTGTAATTTTATCATGTGACTTTAAAGTTTTAAGCCACAAAAAATTTAAAAACTTCGATTATTTATACAAGATATCTTATAATTAAAGAATTTGCATTTTCTTTAAACAATTTATTTTTTATGGAACTTCATTTATCAGGTGGTATTCAATAATAGTTTTCAAATGAGGTAACCTTCTCTTGTACCGCCGATTATAAATAGGGCCGGCCGTCTTACGATATTTAGCCACCCTGAAAAAAATAATATATGTTATTCTTTATTCTTTTTACAAGATAGAACCATTCTTTTCTTTAAAAATTATAGAAAATCTAAAAACACGTTTTTGTGACTATTCAGCTTTAAGATATAAGCCTCAGAATTAGTCTAGAGTTAAATTAAGCCAAGACTAATAAATAGGAATCAAGTTTATTACTTTATTTCTAAATTTTAGTCTGGAAATGATTTGCATATAAAGAAAGAAGAAAAGCAGAAAATTGAAAATTCATCTGACACTGTTAAAGTTGACATAATATGGTCTTTTGTATTATTTTTTGTTATAAGCCATTTATGTGCTTTATATGGGATTTTCCTTGTATTTACATCAGCTAAAATACTGACAACATTATTAGGTAAGTTTCAACATATACTTCTAAAAAGAAATTATAATTATGTAAACATTTTTAAATATAAATGTATTTTTATAAATTTTGTATTTCATGAATACATGCATTTGATTTTTATAGTTACATTTTTAAAAAACTTTAAAGTTTTAGTACTTATTAAAAATGTCATCTTCTATTCATCACCATTTTCTTAGCGTCTATTTCAACTATTCGGGGTCGGCTCTACACCCAGAGAAAAACCTCGATCTATATAATAAATTCATTGTTCAATTTGATAAATATATCATTACTATTGAATCAATGATATATTTATCAATATGATATTTTTTTTTCTTGTCTTGAACAATAATTATTTATAAGAATAGTTATTTTGTTCGTATTAATAAAACATTATCATAAACCCTTGATAAAATTTCTCTTTCAATTTTGATTGAGGTTTTTCTTTGGGTGTACCTTACAATAATTTAACAGGATTTTTACATTGACTAAAGTAGATCGATGCAACCTCATTATGGCTGAGGAACATTTCTCTTTGATTGATTTCCTAATATTATTCACAAGTTAAAAATTATTAAAAATTAATTAAGCAATATTTGTATGGTGTTTATTATAGTATAGTTTGAAATTTTTTTATAATTATTTTTTTATTGAATAGAGTGTTTGATTTTAACAAAATTTAAATAAAATGTGTTTAACAGGAATACTTTTTTGGTCTATGTCAGGCATAGGAGTAACAGCTGGCTTACATCGTTTGTGGTCCCATAAATCGTATAAAGCTAAATGGCCGCTACGAGTATTATTAATGTTGATGAGTACTATGGCTTTTGAAGTATGTATTCGAAATCCATTAACAACGTTTAGTTACAAAATTTAAGTTTTTTTATTTATAGAATCATATTTATGAATGGTGCATGGATCACCGAATACATCATAAATACACAGATACAAACTCTGATCCTCATAATGCTAAAAGAGGTTTCTTTTTTTCACATGTTGGTTGGTTAGTTGTAAAAAGGCACCCAGATTATTACGAAAAGTGCAAAATAATAGATATGAGCGATTTGCAGAAAGATCCTATTGTTATGTTTCAGAAAATGTAAAATGAATTATTGTAATTAAATTATTCAGGGGCATTTTTTAAGAATCTTAGGAAACACAGGAAATGTGAACGATAAAACTTGCTGCATCACAAAATTACCAGTTAAAAATAAAATTTTTAATTTTGAAACCTGTAGTCTCTTATAACTAAGCCCCTGTAATACACATATAAATTAACAAGTATTCATTGAATATTTGTTAGGGTGGATCGAAAAGAGTCGATCATCGAAATGTTAATAAAAATTATTTTAACTATATCATATACATTGAAATAGAAATTTCATGAAGATTTGAGATTTTTAAAAAAGTTTTATTGGTCACTCAACTTGTTTTTAGTATTTTAACCAAATACCCTGAAAAACACAAAACGACCTCTGTTATTCAATTTTTGGTAAAATATTATTATTAGTATATCAAAATAGTTTAATTTTTACTATAGAGTACAAATTTTTTAGTTAAAAAATTTTGAGTCAAAAATTGATCGCGTGGATTAATCTCAAGTAAGCTTAAAATTATTAAAAATAATTTTCTTTTGCCATTTGAATAATATTTATGTATATTATAAGTGGGCACACTTTTAAAATATTAGTAAAATTTACATTCAATTTAATTTGAATATATAATGGAATACTTAAAAACCAAATCTCAAGTCTAACGATTTCGTCAAATAAAAACAATGGTCAAAAGTTCCCATCAAAATGTTTTGATTTAGTTAATTTTTATATTTTCAATGTATATAATAATAAAGTTAAGAGTTTTCATTAAAATTTTGATGAAGGACATTCTTTGATCTACCTTAGTATTATCTATAATATGTTGCAATTTCAATGGTTTTAATTAAATTAGTATTTTGTTTTAGGTTTTATATTCCAATTTTATTATTGATGTGTTTTTATATCCCGACTGCTATTCCAGTGTACTTGTGGAATGAGACATGGATTAATGCATTTTTTGTTCCTACTATGTTACGCTATGTATTCACTCTTAATATGACATGGCTAGTTAATAGTGCTGCTCATATTTGGGGAAATAGACCTTATGATGCGTAAGTTTTATTTTTTATTTTTTATTATCTTTTAAAAATATATCTTTTATCTAATAGTTCTATCAAGCCTTCTGAAAACTTATCTGTGTCAATTGGAGCATTAGGTGAAGGTTGGCATAATTATCATCATACATTTCCTTGGGATTATAAAGCTGCTGAGCTGGGAAATTACAGAACAAATATGACAACAGCTTTTATAGACTTTTTTGGTCTCATTGGATGGGCATATGATATGAAAACTGTTCCTAGCAAAATGATTTTAAAGAGAGCATGTAGAACTGGAGATGGTTCTCATACTAATGGTGATGGAATTTGGGGTTGGGATGATGAAAACATAACGAGAGAAGACCGAAACTTAACAACAGTTATAAATAAAAAAAATGACTAGTGAAAATTGAGTTATAGTTAATAAAAAAATTGTATTATTTTATAGTTTTTAGTACTTATATTTATAATTGTGAAATAATTAATTAAATTAATTTTAACACAATAGAGTTTTTATTATTGTTAACTAATCCAGTAAAAATGACTGTAAATATTCAAACGTTCATGTGAGTTAATTAATTTATGATAAAAAATGATTTAATCAACAATTTCAAACAGATTAAATGTATTTGATGATATGTATTATTTTTATTTTTTTAGATTTTAATATTTTAATATTTCTTCCATAATACGGTTTATAAATAGTCGTTTCACAATAATTCTAATATTTATTGTTAATTAATATTTTTAAATAACAAAATTTTATTGTAAGTAATCGTTGTAATCTTCAGTATTTAGGGTAATACATTTTTAGAATTTAATTTATATAGATAAATGATATCATTATAAAATAAAATTGAAAAAATCAATTATTCTCATGTAAGCAATACATAACTTCATTTTTTATCTTCGCGCCACTGCTTTTCACAATAAATTTATTGATAATATACAGTAATAGTTGTTTAATTCAAAAATAGAGAACGTTAAAAGAAAATCATACTATAATGGTGCAGACACGTCTATACCAATTTTTGAGATTCAAGTAATATACTATTCAAAATATTAAGGGAAATAATAAAACTAGTATTTATAGGATAAGAAAAAAAATTATAATTGTAAAACTTATTACACATTCAAGTAAAATCCTCCTTTTTAGATAATCTTGAATAATTTAATTTAAATCAAAAATACATATACATTTTTTTGATGATATCAGAAGATTACTATAAATACTATAGTATGCATGATTATAGTTTTATTTTGTTAATGACTACTATAAGAGTAACCAGAAATTAAAAAAAATAAGCATATAACAATAAAAAATTTGAAAAAGTATTTAAATAAATATTTCATTTATATCGTTTTTCAAAAGTAAGATGTAGATAATGATATTACAAATTAAATAAATTGTACTTTATAATTAGTTTAAATTATATATTAAATCCAATGTAGAATCCACAGCTAATTTAAATAAATATCAATAAGATAAAATTTTTGAAGATTTCATCTCAATTTTTTAAAAATATATTAAGTAATATTAAAGATAGCCAATTAAAATTATTAATTTAACATTATATACTACTTATGATTTAAGTAAAATTATAAAATAATAACAATGAACTAACTAGGTAACAATATTTAGTTGTGTAAAAATTTAATGCAGCATGTTCATTATTGATTACTGTTTATCAAACACTTAAAAAGTTGTTCTAAATTATTAACATTTTATTAAAAAAAATAAATTTCAACAATTAATTTTGCCTCTTAAAAAAAGTATATCTATCCTTAATTTAGCCTCCAAATGTTTTTTTTAATTTTAATTTTTAAATAATAAAAATTGATACAATTATACACATACTTTTATTAAAATATTAAAAAACATAGATTCCTAGTTGTTTAATTTTTTAGATATTATAGGTTTTTTGTTTACCTATAACTTTAATTTTATATTTCATCAAAAATCCGTCTGAATTAATAGTTTGTTGAAAATCATCATTTGTGACATTATTTAATAGTGGCCATATATAAAATTGAATATTCCTATTTGATAATTGCTCTGAAATTTTTTATTATCCAACTTGTTGGCAGTAAACTTTATTTCTAAGTTTCAATGAATTTAACAACAATACATTGTATAGAACAATTATGAAAGACCATCAAGTTAATAAATATAGTTTAAAAAAACTGAAAAACATGCTTTTAAAGCTTATCGAACTAAAAAGTTAAAAATCATTTTTAAAATAAGCTTAAAACAATAATGAACGAAAAATACTAGTATTACTGTGAATAAATATAGTTTAAAAAACGGTAGCACAGTGGGGTCGAGGCACAGTGGTGACGTGGCATAGTTGGATCAAGTATTATGATATCTGACAGTGATTAAAATCACTATCATAAGAAACGCTTCGAAGCAAATCTGTAGATAGTGTTTCATTTAGAGAAATTGGTGGATTATTCCAAAAGCAACATCAACTCTTATTTCTTTAATTATATTCTGATTAGTAGTACTTTGATTTTAAAATATAATATATGAATAAAGAATAATTATAGTTTTCAAATTCAGTATGAAATTGTGAGGCCAGCTATAATGTATTGTTCATAGTGTTGGGCGGTTTATAAGAAAGTAGAGCAGAGAATAAGTGTAGCAGAGATGAGAATGCTTAGTTGGATGAGTGGAGTGACTAGAGAAGATAGGATAAGGAACGAGCATATAAGAGGAAGTTGGGTTAATCAATCGTGGATAAGATGACAGAAAATAGACTTAGATTGTTTAGTCATGCTATGAGGAGAGAAGAATCGGAAGCTGTAAGAACAGTTATAGAAATGAATGTTGAAGGAAGATGAGATAGAGGAAGACCAAAAAAGAGATGGAGAGATGCTATTGAATGCAATTCGAGGACAGCTGATATGAGCGTAGAAGATGTGGGAGATAGTAAATGTAAATGTAATGTAACTCGAAAAATATTTGTTTAAATGAAAAACTATAAAATAATTTGTTTGTTTATAATTGTTTTTTAAACAACTTTTGTACGAAACTTTTTTTTGTAAGTTAAATATTTTTTGAGAAAATTAAAATAGCTCATATTTTTGAACTTTGGCGAGGCTGTAAAAAAAAGCTCAATTTCAATCAATGAAGACTATTAGTATGTCATTATACATATTTTAATTCAACTATTAATAAAACAAAATTTGGTTGGGAATTTTTTAAGAAATTTTTCCTTTGTTGACTGGCCTAGATGTCAATTTTAAATTTGTAATTGAGCTAAAAGTTATGGTAATATATTCAATTTTTTTTGCTATAAACTTTCATAAATCTTTATCAAAAATTNTCTGAACGCGCACTTTTTAGAGTAGATTGACACCAAAATCTCAAAAAACTGTTAATGAGAACCTCAGAAACCGACCCTTACACTGGGAGCGACACGAAAGCGTGACCTTCCCTTGATTGCCTCATAATAATCAAGTAATAATCAGTAATAACTTGAAAACAATTTTTTTTTTTTTAATTATTTTTTATATGTAATTAGTAATAATATAAAAAATTAGAACTGATAGATAAAGTTTAATTACAGATTTGAAAACAACGCGAAACTTTGATTTAGAAAAGTATATTTTTGTTTCTGATGAAAGTTCCTTGAAGTCCAGTGCATTCATTTATAGTAACAAACAGTTTTTATTGATAATTATTGTATTAAGCCCTTTAAATTTTTATACACGTAAAAATAAAGCAAAATACAACTTCTTTATTATTTTTATCATTTCTCCGTTTAAATTACAATATTAAATTATTGAATATCAATTTCATACTAAATTTAATAATTATAATTAGTATTTATTCATATATTATATTTTAAAATCAAAGAACTACTAATCAGGATATAATTAAAGAAATAAGAGTTGATGTTGCTTTTGGAATAATCCACCAATTGCCTAATTAAAACAAAAAAAAAAAAAGTTTGTTGGGAATTTTTTCTGCTATTCTGCAAAATTACTCCTTCGTTGACTAGAATGAATCATTAAATAGAAAATTTTATGAGAATTAAAACAATGTTATTTTTAAGATTAATATGCAGTCAGAAAGTTTTATAATTATTATTTATTGTAAATTTATCAGAAAAACTCATTATTTTTTGCATTTTTATCGTAATAGAACACTTAAATAGAAATCATAGTAATCATTTCTAAGTAATTTTTGATATTTAAAAAGATTCTACTATTGAAATATCCAGAACTGAATTAATTTTAATGATTTACTTTAACTAAAAAAAAAAAAGTTAATATTTTGAATCCCTCTTGTGGGCAGGTAAAGGGTTAGATTTATAAAAAAAAACCAAATGATAGATAAAGACAACATCTAAATAAAAAAAATATATACTAATTTGGTCATTTTTGATAAAGTTATAACAGTTAACAAAGTTATAAGTTTTATACACTGGACTATAAGGAACTTCCATCAGAAACAAAAATATACTATTCTAAATCAACTTTTCGCGATGTTTTAAAATGTGCAATTAGACTTTTTCTATAACTTCTAAGTTTTAATATTATTAAAAAATAGTTTTTACATATAAAAAAAAATAATTAAGAACAAAAAAAATTGTTTTAAATTAATACTGATTTGATATAATATTTAATATTAATTTGATTATTAATAAGTTAAAAATAAGGAAAATGACATATTTAACCAATTTTGTTAATCGTTTAAAGTTGATTGTTGTAAATGTTTATAAAAAAAAAAAAAAATTTATTTTACCATAACTTTTAGCTCAATTGGTAAGTTTGACATTGACATAATTAAATAGAAAATTTTATGACAATTAAAAAAATTGTATCGTTAAGATCAATATGCAGTCAGAAAGTTTTATAATTACTATTTATTGTAAATTTATCAGAAAAGCTCAATATTTTTTTGCATTTTTATGGTAATAGATAACTTAAATAGGAGTAATAGTGTTAATTTCCTAGTAACTTTTGTTGTTTGAAAAAATTCTACAATTGAAATATTGAGAACTTCATTAATTTTAATGATTTACTTTAACTTTAAATCAAAACAAAGTTGTTAAAAAGATCTACTCAATAGCGTACTATAAAATTTGATTATAATTGTAAAAATCCATTATTAATTCAGGAGAAACTAGCATTAATTTTTTTTAGAAATGATTTATATAGCAACATGTTAACAAAAAATTTTGAATATTATAGTCTAGTAGTAGCGCACACAAATAGAGTAAAAACCAGCACAAGGGGGTCGCGGCATAGTGGTGACGTGGTATAGATGGATCAAGTATAATGATATCTGACAGTAATTAAAATCACTATAAAAAAAAAACGCTTCGATGCAAATCTTTAGATAGTGTTTAATTTTAAAAAATTGGTGGACTATTCCAAAAGCTACATGATCTGCTAGTTCATTTATAATATCCTAATTAAGATAAAGTATGTAGAATGAAATATTATTTCTCATAAAAAAATAATGTTGATCCATACACTTTTCAATATGTCATA